TCAACTTAATAGTTGGTCTGGGTTCAACAGAGGAAGAAGTGAAACGCTCTCTGTGATCTGTCTCCCCTCCACGTCTGATTGTGATCAGCGGGACTTACTCGTAGCCATGATGAATATTCTTGTGTAATCAGGTATATGGGAAGCACATTCAGAATGCCAGCTGGAGTGTGTATGAGTGTGTGTGTGTACTTGTTTTTATCAGGTTCAGGGGGACATTTTAGGGATTCTTAAAACTTGATGAATTTTTAAAGGGTTAAGGCTAAAACAGCAGGATATAAACGTGTCATCTTCACGACCGCAGCGTTTTTGAGCCCGATTTTATTTTTATTTTTGCCTCAAACCTTGGCCTCGAGTGTGTGTTTAAATGGTCTTTTATTGACATTTATGTGAAGCCTTTCTGTCAGGAGGTGCAACGCTGCAGGCACTGAGCAGATTATAAAGTGGCCACATTACTCCTGTGTCATGTGAGGAGGTTACAGTTACAGTAACAACTATAGTTATATGACATTATTGAGAATTTCACTCTATAAAATGAACCAGAAATAATTTTTAGTCTTTTAAAAAAAATCTTCATATTACGTATATATTACAACATTTACACCGAATTGAAACCATTGAGCAGGCTAATACAACTCCATTCACAGCACCCCCTGCAGGGGAGGGAGAGGTGCCACGTGCTGTCTGTTTACACCACACAAATAACTATTTTGTTGAGAAACACTTTGTTGAAAGTGGGCTTGACTTTGATAGTTAATGTGCTGTATGAATGTTCAGATCAGGGCGTTGGTGAAGTTTAGGGTAAATGAACAGCTAGTAACAACCAACGTCTTGACAACTGTAGAGATACAGGCGTATTGGAGAGAGAGAGAGAGAGAGGGGGATAGAAAGAGTTGTTCGGCCCTCCACCCAATCTGGAGCTGATTAAGGCCCAGCTGTCTGCCAGACCCCCCTCCTCCTTCCCATGAGAAACATGTGCTGTACAACCAGGAGCAAAGAAGGAGAGGAAACTAATCACACATACTTCTTGTGTTACATGTGGTGTTTCTCTCTCTCTGTCAATTATGTTCTCTAAGCCTCAGGCTAACAGCGGCACAGACAGCTAAGACTCCTCTTAGGTTCTTGTGTTCAGGCTGTCATGTCAACGATGCCTGTTGGTCTGTGTGTGTGTGTCTGTGTGTGTGTGTGTTAACAGTTTCCCCTCTTTGTGTCTGTGCAGAGAGGACAAACTCTAAGCCAGTTTTGACGGGCACCCACCCAGTCAACACCACCGTGGACTACGGCGGCACCACCTCATTCCAGTGCAAAGTGAGGAGCGACGTCAAGCCCGTCATTCAGTGGCTGAAACGGGTGGAGACTAACGAGGAGAGCCGTTACAACTCCACCATCGAGGTGGGCGATCACCGGTTTGTGGTGCTGCCCACGGGTGAGGTGTGGTCCCGGCCCGACGGCTCCTACTTGAACAAGCTGCTCATCACCCGCGCCAAAGAGGAAGACGCCGGCATGTACATCTGCCTCGGCGCCAACACCATGGGCTACAGCTTTCGCAGCGCCTTCCTGACTGTGCTGCCAGGTGAGGATCAGTGGTGGATCACGCTCCGTCTCACAGACAACACTGGGCCGCGGTGTTATTTTACTGTTCACAACACCAGCAGCCAGAGACTGTACGATTGGTTGATGAGGTCAGGTAAAAAAAAATAAAAAATTGGTTGATGAGGTCAGGTAAAAAAAAATTTAAAAAAACCCCACTTGTGACCTGTGCAAATGAATCAGAGTCATGTATCTGTGATGATATTTCAAATTAAAATATTTCTACGTTAAAGTTAACGTAGTAAGTTTGCTGTGTCCTCAATCAGTAGTGGTTGAAAAAGTGAGCTGAAGTTATTATTGGCACGTTCACTACACTCATTACTCCATTAAGGCTCCTTTCTGGTGCTGCAGCAGAACAGGACATTTTTGTCGAAGGAAAACGAAAAAAGAAAACATTTGGACAATAAACAAAGCAGGGCTGCAGGCAACACTGACCAGACCTGAACACATGTCAGGTTTTATTCCAGTGAATTCTGGAGCCAGTGACTACTGCAGGACACACAATGATGGAGTGTTGTACAGTTATTATTATGGGATGGGAATTATTCAGACTGAAGTGAATGTTAAACTCTTCTACGTTTTTTTTTTTTTGTTTTTTTTCTGCAGACACCAAGCCCCCCATCACCCCCATCTTCTCTTCAGCCTCC